TCCGAGGAACCTGCTGAAGTGATCGTCTTTCTTCGCTTTATTCACAAAATCTACAGCTCTTTTTTTTCCATCGGCTTAGCCGTCTGGGTGAGTGATGACCTCCCGAGATTACGAATCCTACGAATCAGAGGTCCTAACGAACTGTTGACGTGGTATGACGTGGTCAAAATTTGTCAAGCTAACGTAAAATTATATTCGATCGCAAGTTTTGAATACGGACAGGAGTGATAAAATTAAAGATTTTGTAAAATCGCAGCGCATATTTATATGCAGAGCGTTTTTCACTCACTCACCAGGGATTACGGATGGTGTTTTGACTTTGATTATGGTAAAACTAATAGTTTCATTTTCTGTATTTTATTTCTATCACATACAATCAGTAACTTTTGACTGGGGCGTTTGGCATTCTTTCGCAAACTTTGTTTTGATCAGTTTGAATCAGTCCTTTATAGCAAGTATTGGCATTTTTGGGCACTTTTTTCTCTTTCATTTTGTTATAGTTTAGCATTTCGAGTTGATTTTGGCGATTTTAAACTATTAATTGTCTTACAGGCAATTAATTCTACTATTTTCCTTTTTTTTTTGAAGAAGACGGGATGGGGAGGGGCGAGGAGGAGGAGAGGGTTTGGCGCTTCCTTCATATCGGCAACTTTATATAAGCCTCATATTCTTTTTACTGTCTTATTAGTTCAGTAAAGATCAAGTAAAAAAATAAAATGTGAAGACTTATGGTACTTGACGGATATGAGGAATTTTAACTGCACTATGACATCATCTAATTTGTATATTTGCTTTAAATTCAACGTTTTCCCCATCGTGCTTTTTTGCATACTTGCGCAAATGCAGTCTGTTGTGGAGCGCATCAGGCTGGCCAGTAAGGTCATGCGTTTTTGCAGTATTTCGTGCTGTAATGAGATCACTTGTACAACCCAGATTTCTTTTAAATCATCTTCGCGGCATGTCTGGATTCCACTTCAATTATAGGTTTATGATGCTAAGCAAGAAATTAGGTGCTGATTGAAAGCTAAGCTTCGGCAACCTCTCCTCATGATAATCATGTGTACGGTCTGCTGAAGTACTATAATGCAGCGCTACTGCTCGAGCCGTTAGCCGGCTCCCTCTTCCACCACATACGACAGATGACCAAAACATAGCCAGCATGTTCGCACGTGTTAAACTGTAGAGCAACAACCATTCATACTGTTAACGCTCTGTTTTACTTCAGAGTTTGTGTAAATTGAGCACATTTTTGTACTGGCAACGCTAGTGCGCGTTACTTTCGATTTAAGTCTCGAGAATTAGGGGAATTGAAAGGTGGGGGAACATAATTTCTCGTCTTATTCATCCACTCGAGAGTTATGAGATCCAGTTTTTTCAAGTTTTGTTATATTTATTTAACTGTGTTTTGACACTTGTTCGTGAGGAGTCCGACACTGCCAGTTAGACAAACAGTCCTTCTGGGACCCGTTTTGACGGATAAATTGGCATTTGTCTGCCAT